ATTATCTTTCCAAAGAATCTTGCCTTCTCATGATGTACCCAAGTAGGACTTCAGGTTGTCACTTTGCCCCCTGCAATGTTTTAGGCTTAATGTGCTCTAGGACCCATTTGTTCATCTTTCTGGCAGTCCAGGTATCCACAGAGCTCTCCTGCAACATTGTATTTCAAATGAATTTTTTTCTGCCAGCTGTCTTCATTGTTGAACTTTTGTACTTCATATGGGAAATGGGAATATAAGAATGTGGGTGATCTAAGCCTTAGTTTCTAATGATATACCTTTGCTCTTAAAAGAATAAATATTTCCACACACATACACACATTAAATAATATTAGTAAATGGAATAGACATGGGAAAAGAAAATATGTGAGCTATATCTAGTAATATAAAATTTGGGTGAAATTTCCACCAACAAAAGAAACTGCAAATCTAGTATGTTTAAAGACAACAACAATTATTGTGATGGGATTATCTGGATGTTGGCATGTGCTATACCAAGGGGGCCCCCCAAAAAAACAGAATTAACTGGAAGTTGGGCCCCTTGCAGTACAGGCTTGCCCCACAAGGTGAGTGTTCTAGGAACCCATCTGTATCAGTGCACCTGCTAGCATTGTTGTGAGAGGCTGCATTTGGCTTTAGGAAATTTGTCTGAAGACTCTTTCAATGCCTTTGCCCATTTCATGATTTGTGATTTACAAGTGCACCTGCCCACACTGCACTGAGTGTTCAGTAGTTTTTGACCAAAAACGGAATGACCGCATTGTCACATCCTTCCTATCACCTGATCTCCCTCCAAGTGACTTTTGTTTCCCCAAATTGAAAAAGTCCTCAAAGGGAAAAGTTTTGCCTATGTGGAAGAGATGAGACAAAAAATAAGGCATTAGGATCAAGTTCAAAATCTGTTTTGAGCAGTGGAAAAAATGTTTTGATAGGTGTATTGCATCAAATGGACAGTACTTTGAAGGTGACTGGGTTTAAACAGGTAAGAATAAATACACAATTTTTGAAAATAAAGTTTGTTTTTTGGGGCATCTACCCTCACACATGCGAATTAGAGTTTATGTGTGTCTGCATGTATACTATGGGAAAGACTATAATCTCAGAAACTATAGTAGAGAGTTTGAATTTTAGATTTCATTTAAGCATAATAGAAGTTCATGAGAATATTGCTAGTTGCAGATTTATTTGAGATGAGTACACATATGTTTACATATGCTACATAAATACAAGAGTATTTAGAAGATTCAGTGGTTATATCTAGCTGAGTGGATAACAAAAATATGTACTATTACAGATTATTTTCTTTAAAGTAGACTATATTTGATTTTCAAGGAGCTAAATAATTCTATTCATTATTTAAAATTCACCAAAAATATCTTTTTCTTATCATCCTTTGTGCTTTCTATTTTGCTCAGGAAATACGTTCCAAGACCTTCAGTGGATGCCAAACCTTAAATGCACTATTTTTCCTATATGTTCATACCTATGATAAAGTTTAATTTATAAAATAGACATAGTAAGAGATAGTGATAATATGATAATAAAATAGAACAATTATAACAAGATAATATAATTAAAGTTGTATTGATGTATCTCTGTATGTCTATCAAAATATTATAATTACCTTTTCACTTAAAAGAAGCACTTTTCTTCTCCTCTTTGGCATATCTGAATTGTCAGCATCACTGCTCTTGCACTTGGGAGCGTTCTTAAGTAAAATAAGGGTTACTTGAACACAGGCATTGAGATAACCACAGCAATCGATCCAATAAGCTAGACTAAACTAGATGATTACTGAGCAACTCATGGGAGGGTAGCATATGCCATGTGATGATGCTGGACAAAGGGGTAAGTCTTGTCCTGGGTAAAACAGAACAGAATTGTATGAGATTTATTTCCAAATACTGCACAATTTAAAACATTAATTATGTTTTCAGGAATTTTTCATTTAATATTATTGGACCACAGTTGACTGCGAGTAATTGAAACCACGTAAGGTAAAACTGTGGATAATAGGAGACAATTGTATAGCACTTTTCACAACAAGTTAATCCTGGATTCAGGCCATCATATTGAAATCTGTGACCCTCCATGTGCCATGTGAATCAGGGACATTATCTTCTATGTGCCCCAACTTTTTCATGTATCACCTGGGAATAACAATAATAGCCACCTGGTTTTTGTTATGACTAAATGACTTAGTACATGTAAGTAGCATAAAGGAATGCCCAATAAATAAATACACTAAAACAAATATTAGCCCTTTCTCTTATGATTACTGTCATATATGTATATTGGAGATGACATCCATTCAACTGAGTCCCTTGATTAAACAAAGCTTTTTTAAAAAGGATACTAATTGATATCCACAAAGACATCTACTACATAATATATTATTTAAACAGGGATACTTTAATGAGTGAAAGTTGTGCTATTAATAATTACAACCATACCACAGTTAATAAACAGAGGTATGCTTTCCTTATGTTTAGGCATTTGGGCTATAAATCCATAACTTCTCTGCATATTGACAGCAGTTATTTACTCAGTTTCAGCTACTACTGCCTGTTCTCAGGCTTGGACTACAGACCTACTTCTTAACTTTCAAAATGTTCTTCTCATTGCAATTGGAATGTTATTTTAAAATTTAAAGTTGATAATATTTTTCCATTTAAAAATGTTTTAATAGTTTATCTTTTCTTCAAATTCTTTACCATGACTCTCATGGAGTATAGAATATAGAGTATGTACTTCATCATTAATATCATTATAGATTGCCTTTTATTATCATCACCACCACCATCATCATCATTGTAGATTACTATCTGTGTACCAAGACTTGTGCTAAATATTTTATGTGGAATGTCCATTGGGATACTTTTAGTATCCCCAATTATGCAATGTACAAATGGAGGTTAATTGGTTTTAGACAAATTGCCTAATATCATACAATTTGTGAGATACAGAGTCAGATTTTAAAACCAGATATCAGAGCTCTTGGCACTAAACCTTGTTTTATTGTTCTATTATAAATGTGTTGATTAAAAGAAAAAATGAACACCGCTGTGACTGAATGAGAGAGAACCTTTCCCTCTCTCCAGTTACAACTCAGCTTCTTTTCTGTCACTCACCTACATCACTGCACAGAAACCAGCTATTCTGATCTGATTTTTCTTTGCATTGAAATGCTAGTTTTGCCATTGGATTTTCATAAATGCTGGATCCTCTTCCTGAGACATTTTCACTGTTCAGATTTACCTGGATGATACCTCACCATCAGTGAAGTATTAGATTCAAGGACACTTGTTCTACTATACTTTTTATCATCTATACCGCTTATAATATCAGGTGCACCATTCTTGTCTTGCATTCATGGCATTGATCATTGTATTTCAAATGTCAATTCACATGTCTCAGTCTCAGACTAGACTGTTGGTACTGTAAAGGTAACCACACTGTTGTCTACCTTCTCGACCACTGAATTACTAGTGTTCCAACATAATAGATACTTCAGAATGTAAAAGAAAAATTGCATCAGTTGAAGTTAAGCAGGCAAAAAAAACCCTTTATTCAAGACTACTGCAAGAGTGGGAAGATATTGACCTTAACTCTGCAGAAATATAATGTGGGAAATTTTGTAAGAGATGAGATGAGTTAGTATAAAATACTAGAAGATGTTAGTTAGCTGAGAGGGTGAGTTAATGTGGTTAGGTTATCTGTATTTATTAACTGTGCTTATTGTTAACAGAGCTAAGAGATAGAGGTCCCATCTTTCTTGATGATTACATGTCATAGGAATGGCTACCAATTCCTGGAGAAAGACATTCTTAGGTTGTAAAACTGCCAACAGGTTGGGAGAAGATTTAAACCTCAAAGAGGAAGAAAAATAATTTACAATTTCAATTTTAAAGTAAATGTTTTAAGAGAAGGTCATCAGAAACAAGTAGAGTCAGGAAGAAACCTGTGTGCAGTTTGTTTAGTCCAGCTGAGTTGAATTGTAAGACCGTTCCAGTCAACATCTGTTTGTTGAACTAATGAATAATTAACCAGAAAATTCAAATATTCCCTTGTACAGTAAAAGCTCTTGACATGTAGTGATTAAGAACGATTACATGACTCTGTATTTATATGATTTAGTAAGTAAAGTGTTGAGCAATACACACATGACATTTGGCTTTTAAAATATTCAATCTAATGGTTCTGATTATGTTTTTATATTTTTGTAATTTATAGAAAGTAAATTAACATTATTATAATATGGTGATACACAAGTAAAGTTTAATACTTTAACTGATCATTTTAGTTCTCCATATACTGTAGCTTCAAAGAAATTACTAATTACATTAAAGTACATTGTATATAAATGACAATATGAACACAGTGGCTTTATAGAGCAGAAATAATTTTATGCCTGCTAGCTGAAGTTCTTGCACGTTTTAAATAACGTTTAATGCTGCCTGAATTATTGTGTCTATCAAGGATATATATCCAGTCTAATTAAACCTGTATAATTTAGAGAAGGTAGATTTAATAGTAGTTATATTTATATTCCCCAAATTGTCATTAGATATAGTATCAGCATTTTTTCAAAATAGTTTTGCCTATTTATTTACACTTAGAATACTATGAATAACCTCATAGAGAATATTGTACATTTTCTGACTTTTTTCCTTACCAGTGTCACCTTTGCCTCTCCTAATTTTAGATGTTTCACCATTGTTCACCTTTATGGAAGTTAATCTCAGACCTAAATTCCATTAACTGACCATAGTCATAGTTGAGTTTCTGAAGTAGTAAGTTAATTGGGCAGAAATTTTGTAAATATATGGGAGAAGGAGAAGGGGTAAATGTTATCTACATTTGAAAGGACCTCCATTTACAAATCAGTATTCTTTAATGTATGGTTTTCTTCCATGACTAACTGGTGGTTTATTTGCATTCATCTTACTGGCACTGGCAAGGGAAACTGAAATATTTGTCTCTTTGATTTTGCACAGTCTCACCCAGAAAGCACAGCCCTGATTTTGTATGAGAAAAGCTATCAACAGACCCTAAAACGTGAGTCCTGTCTATTTGTGCTAGTGAATTCTAGGTTATATAACTGACCTAGTTATATGACCTGGTCTTTAAAATAGACAATAAAAGTCTTCATTAAGTGTTACTGTACATTGTAAGAAATGCAGAAAGTGAGAACTGATGTATCTGTTTTGTTGTCCAGTTTAAAATAATTATAGTAATTTACAGATATTTAACTTTGAAGAAGATAATACATTTGTGCTATTCAATATCTAGTGTAAAACATACAGTTTTAACATTCTAATTTGTTTACGATAAGACATGTACACACAATCCTTTACAAGTAAAAATTCCCATGTTATTTTGTATATAATTCACTTTAATGTTTTCTATAGCTAATATTCCATATATTTAGTATTTCATTTTTTCACTTTTTTCCCCAAGTGAAACAAGAAGTTTATCCAAAGTGAAAGCTTTGTGCACTTTTCTTCCTTATTCTGTGACAGATCGATTTTTCAGCTACTTACTAATTGTTGGCATCATTTTTCCCTGTTTGGCTTCTGATAAATTGTCTTTGATAACCAGATGTTTTGCTCTTGATCTTTGCCATGGCTACACTCCGGGTTATCAGAACTGCCATTAATAAAAGTGAAAAATCAAGGAGCTCACAGCTTATGAAAGTTAGAGGAGATATAAGGCTTCATATGGACTGGTGAATTTTCCATTGACGGATAGTTTGCAGTTTCTCCTATCTGCTGTCACAATACCTGAAATAATAAGGGGAATTTTTCCCTCCAATAACAGACGGTGGGGGCTGTTTGCTTTGTGAAAATCTGCCAAGGTAACATGCCACGTGGCTTTATCTTTGAAAGTGAGGGTGAAACAAGCTTGCCTGGCTGCAGATAAGCGACTTAGAAGGAATTCTATTCAGATGTACTTGTCACTAATCTAGCTGGAGGTTTTCCGATTCATACATACTGTTCTGTGTGCGATGAAGCCTTAAATCGGTTTCCTCTGGGAGCAGGTCGTATTCAGGGGTCGTCGGATCTGTGCTGTAGGAAGGTGCATGCCTGAATCATACAGTATCTTGCTACCGAATTTCCTTCTATTAGAAGACAAGTAACTTGAACATGTATTAGACAATCTCTGGGAAATTTTTGATAGTAAAAACATTGACAGCTGAACTATCAATATACAAGTGTTTGTAACAAAAAAATTAATCGACCCACCTGCTCTTAGCAGTCATTTATTCTGATAATTAAGTAGTCATCGCTATGTTTTCCAATAAAAACCTAGCTCTTGATGAATGCATTTTTATGCTTTTTATTTATTTAAACAAAAATATGTACTTAAATGCATTACTTTATACTAGAAAAAATGCAGAGCTTACTTTTCTATAGGAAAAGTTTTAGAAAAAAAGATTTTTCCCTTTCCAATATAGTTTTCTATAGTAGAAATCTTATTTTATTATTGTATATAATTTGAAAAAAAATAACATACTTTGGAGAATGAGACAAATACCGGGTAACATTTGAAAGATCATAAAAAATAAGAGATGCTTATTTCTGTATAAAATTGTGCTGAAGAACTTTAGTATAGATTATTTTATTTCTTTATTTTTGGATGTGGATATTTAGCAAGTGCAAAAATACCTTCTCTATTTGTTATGTCCATGATAGGTTATGTAAAACTATAACCTAATTGCTTCCTTTGGATTTTAAATGTGCTCTATTTTGTGTAAAATTAAGCCAATATATGCCAAAGAGGTACTTAAATGAAAATAATTAGTTAAATCTTCCTGAAGTATTTTTTAGCATGTATGGCAGTTGTTTTACCTGCAGATAAATTACCAATAAAAACTGATATATAGTATTTTTTAAATTTAAAACTGTTCCTGTTATTCTGTATTTCGATGCAAAAAAAAATAACTTTCTTGAGTTACAAAGGGTAAATACTTCCAACTGGATGAAAATGATGATTTTATGCTGTACTTATATGGTGTGTCTTTTTTATTTTTCCCAGTTGTAATATTAATTATTTAGCATAAACTAGAATGTTCTTATTAACTAATTAAACCATACTTAACACAGAATTACAGGAACCTGTTAAATCTTTTATGCCTAATGTATAATACTTAAATAATATATTCTTCACATTATCCAAATTTTAAATTAGATTATAACTTTAAAAATCATATAGTGTTTTCTAATAAACAGAAGTGAGAAATAAATATATTTCATAATGTTATTTTAGTGTTTCAAAAAAAAGAGAAACAAAACTAGTTCATAAAACTAAATATATATATATATATATGATTATACCATATTCAAAGTATACATAATTAAGCATATTTGTGTTCTCTTCTTTCCATTCTAGCTTTTCATAGATAATAATAGATGTCTAAACTTTGGATTTTCCATATCTTTATTAAAACCTATTATGTACTTTGCTGTGAGTTATTGTCTTTTTTGTCTCTCTCTCTTGTTTTTTTTGAAAATCATTTTAAAACAGACTGAATTTATATTATTTTTAGAGTAATTCAAACAAAGAACCATTTTTAGAGACATTTAAACAATTTAATGAGTATTTTGTTACTCAAAATATAATGGTATTTTTAAACTGTTTTACTATGAATTTTCCTTTAATCTTTACATGTGGAAATCCCCACATCCAGAATCTGCTTAATTAGCCACAATGTCACCACCTCAAAAGGTGTTTTCTAGCTATCAAATTTAACTATTATCTCTTATGGATTTTTAAAAATTCCTATTTTTTCTTAAATTTTTTTTGTTGTTCTTGTACAGTTGTCTGCTTCCCCCCCCCAACATTCTCCCCCCACCAGCCATCCCCACCTCCTGCCCCTGCTTCCACCCCACCTTGGTTTCGTCCATGTGTCCTTTATAGTTGTTCCTGAAAACCCTTCACTCTTTCCCCCACATTGGATTCTTTAATCTCACAGCATTGACTACAACTTTAAGCATTTTACCTATATTTTATGTGTGTGTACATATACAGAGAGAGAGAAAAAGAGATAGAATTATTTACCTATTTGTTTTGCATCACTCCCACAAAACTTAAGCACAATATTGAGTGCTTAGCATATTACCTGAAATATAATAAAGTCAACAAGATGTGTTGAGTGAATGAAATCAGACAATGACAACTATAAATAAGAACATAAGAAATAATATATTATATATGTATTAAATATATAATATTAAATTTTATATAATCACCAAATTATTAAACAAAATAATTACAAATAAGCATTATGTACATGTAGAGAAGTCAGCAAGCCTCAAAACTTCAGTAGTTTCTTCATCGTATGACTAAAGCCTGCCAAAACTTATTGGATATTAAGTGCTATGGAATTCATAACTAGTATTGCCTAAGTAATTATAAACTTCTCTGTTAATATCTCTTTAATAAAGAAAAACAAAAATAACTATAATTATTAAACACACGTATTTATTTTACAAGCATTTATCGAGAGTTGACTATGTATAAACTGTGTACAAAAGACTATCGGGGATTTACTACTGTGAATTGTTTTTACTCTCACCTGGTGAAATCAATATGGTAAGGAAACTCAATGTGTACTTTCAAAACTACAGTAGAGCTTTAACTGTAAAGCAGAAGTTGGAAGTGTCAATAGTATTTAGCAGAACTAGAGCTCATTTTCAGATGTTGGAAATAACAGCCAATTGCTGAGGTTAATTTGACACTGAACTTTAGGAAAGCTGAAGGGATTTCTGGCACAGGGAATAACATAAGTAAAGGCATGAAGAAGCTGTTTAGCATGAATGAGTTGCTTATTTCAACAGGTCTACCAACTAAATGTAGAATGTTATATAGTATTTGTTGCCAGCTGCTACAGAAAGAAGTTATGTTTGAAAGTACATTAGGATAATATTGTGGAAGATATAACTCTAGTTGAATAATTGGGATTCCATTGGCAAAGAGCACTATTCTCTGAATATATACAATCTCTTCTTGTTTTACAAGCATGATAAATAAAAATGTGGTTTATTAAATAATCACCTATAAAAATCTGGTACAAGATACTATAGGATTTTCCTTTTCTATGTGCTTTATGCATACATGCACACTTATACATACATGTACCCCACAAATGTGTGTATAGGTGTATGTGTATCATTTACTCTGACTTCATTTTACAAAATAGATTGAGGAGAATCAGTGTAAATTTGTATGGAAACTATTAATGATTATGAGACCCCATCCATCACTTTTCAGGTGTAAAATAATCATAATATATAATGAAAAATATAACTTTGCATTTCTTTCTTTCTACTGTGGAGAAAGAAAAAAAGACTGTGTTTCCAGTTTGAGTCCTCTGCCCCATGAATCAAATATTCTCAAGAGTACATGAGTGTTTGCCTGTATCATAGAAAGGTGAGAAGTAAATAACCTGAATAAGTACTATTCATAGTCAAAGAAATACCACATTATTTTATGGGGAGAATAGACACCACTGTGTAACTTACATCCCAATGTGATTATACATACCTTGAGTGGCTTTGAGTATGACTCTTATGTCCTTTAGTAATTTTAAAAGTACATGTCAAAGTCTTCATTATATTAATTGTTTTAATGGAACTAGTGAAGGGTTAATTAATCATGAATACATAGACAGAAATTCAAGGAACAATTTCTTGGCAGAAAACCACTGAGTTGAAATGTCATTTTTAACAGTGCATTAGGAATGTGGCAATTAAGGTATAGTTAAGCCCTTTAGAAAATGAGCTCTTAGTCATTTTATTTTCTAACAATATGGAAAAGAGACAAAGCACTTAGTACCTGGTTATAAATATGTTTTTAACTTTCTGAAAACCAATACACTTTTTAAATACTATTTTCTGAATTCCTTTTGTTGACTGGGTATTCTACGATGACACATTTAAAGTACTGAGAGATGTTCACTGGAATGATAGGTCATACCAGTTTGTTAAAAAGCTTTGTTAAGACTCTAATCTTAGCATCTTAATAAAATGTCAAGAATCAGTTTATGCTTTCAGTGT